TGTACCCGCAACCAAGGCACATGCCCTTGACCGGAATCAAACCTGGGACCCTTGAGTCCGCAGGCCGACGCTCTATCCACTGAGCCAAACCGGTTTGGGCCCGTTTTTATTTTTTTCTCTTTTCTCCCAATCCTGAAGTACTCACATATGTCATTTTCCCATTCCTGTAGGTGGAGTGTACAAACTACTATGCTCTTATTAATTTATCTTCCTATTGTATTCTAGGCATTTTCTTCATGTTCCCGAATAGTTTTCCTAATGATCATTTACAATAACTGCAGACTTGTTTTAATAAAAATAAAAAAAAAAAGCAATGAGGACAGGCCAAACAAATGGTGAGGCTCCAGGATAGAGGCTCTAGAGCAGCCGTGGGCAAACTACGGCCCGCGGGCCGGATCCGGCCGTTTGAAATGAATAAAACTAAAAAAAAAAAGACCGTACCCTTTTATGTAATGATGTTTACTTTGAATTTATATTAGTTCACACAAACACTCCATCCATGCTTTTGTTCCGGCCCTCCGGTCCAGTTTAAGAACCCATTGTGGCCCTCGAGTCAAAAAGTTTGCCCACCCCTGCTCTAGAGGCTCATGTCTTCTCTCCTTTCTCCACCTGCAAGATTTCTGGCTCCTGCTCTGGTTTACACTTGTCCATCCTGATAAGGTTCTCAGGGAGGACCTCCTTCCCTCCCCCCAGGAGCTCCAGAGCCAAGTGTGGGAGTGGAGGGGCATGTGAAGGAGGTATCACTTCTCTCCCTTGCTGCTTTGCTCCCCCCGCTTCCCCCCCTCCCCCCGGTGTTCAAGCTGGAGTGAAGGTCCAGAGCTATGGGTCTGGTCCACAGGATAATCAAGGCTTGCCCCTGAAGCTGTCTCACCCACTGTATCACAGACCACCTGCAGGATGAGATGGGAGCTGGAAATCCATGCAGGAATCCTATATAATAAAAGGGTAATATGCAAATTGACCCTAACGGCAGACGACCGGTCGCTATGATGAGCACTGACTACCAGGGGGCAGACACTTAACACAGGAGCTGCCCCCTGGTGGTCAGTGCACTCCCACAGGGGGAGCTCCACTCAGCCACAAGCCGAGCTGAAGGCTGCTAACGCAGCAGCGGTGGCAGGAGTCTCTCCTGGGGGAGTGGGACTAAGCTTCAGTTGGACATCCCCCGAGAGCTCCCAGGCTGCCAGAGAGATGTCTGACTGCCAGCTTATGCCCGTGGACATCCTCTAAGGCAGCAGTTCTTAACCTGTGGGTCATGACCCCTTTGGTGGTCCAACGACCCTTTCACAGGGGTCGCCTAAGGCCATCCTGCATATCAGATATTTACATTACGATTCATAACAGTAGCAACATTACAGTTATGAAGTAGCAACGAAAATAATTTTATGGTTGGGTCACAACATGAGGAACTGTATTTAAAGGGCCAGAAGGCGGAGAACCACTGCTCTTATCTCTGATTTCAGAAGAACAAGCATTTCTCTCTCCTTAAAGGAACTCAAAGCATTAGAAACAAAGGACATCCCCTGAGGGGTCCCGGACTGTGAGAGGGCGCAGGCCAGGCTGAGGGACCCCCCTGAGTGCACAAATTTTCGTGCACCAGGCCTCTAGTATTGTATAATTTGGAAAACGAGAAATCAGATGTCTGCGATTATGGAGCATAAGGACTTATTTGTGCTGAGAACTACTGTAGGGACATGAATGATCTAATGTCTTCCTCCCAGACAGACCCAAGACATAGGTTCTTTTCTTCTCATTTGACAGGTGAGGGAACATGATGCTCGGAGAAAACAACCTGCCCTGGGGGTTAGAGCTGGGAATGCAACTCATGTCATCAACTCCCTTTTTATTTTTTTATTTAAATATATTTTTATTGATTTCAGAGAGGAAGGGAGAGAGAGATAAGAAACATCTATAATATATGTAAAAGCCTAAGCGACCAAACGACTGGTTGACCGGTTGCTATAATGCGCACTGACCACCAGGGGACAGATGCTCAACGCACAGGATCAGGTTCCCTCCTGTCTGGATTGGGCCTGTGGGGATCAGGCCAAAACCTGCTATCGGACATCCCCCGAGGGGTCCCAGATTGGGAGAGGGTGCAGGCCAGGCTGAGGGACCCCACTGGTGCACAAATCCGTGCACCAGCCCTCTAATCAATGATAAGAATCATTGACCGGCTGCCTCCTGCATGCCCCTACTGGGGATCAAGCTCCCAACCCGGGCATGTGTCCTAACCAGGAATTGAACCGTGGCCTCCTGGTTCATAGGTCGATGCTCAACCCCTGAGCCATGCTGGCCAGGCTCGACTCCCTTTTATTTATTTATTTATTTATTTATTTATTTATTTATTTAAAAAATATATTTTATTGATTTTTTGATGTGCCTGCAACCAAGGTACATGCCCTTGACTGGAATCGAACCTGGGACCCTTGAGTCCGCAGGCCGACGCTCTATCCACTGAGCCAAACCGGTTAGGGCTCGACTCCCTTTTAGAATGACACATGTTATGTATGTTTGTATGCATGTAGAAAAAGACTTGGAAAGAAAGACATTAAACTTTATAGTTGTTACCTCTGGGGAGGTTTGTTTTTCCACTTTTTTAGTTTTTATATTTATTTCTGTACTGTTTGGCTTCACAACTTTCAGCCACAAATATTTGTAGAGCGCCTACTCTGTGCCAGGCACTAGTGTATGTGCTTGGGTGAGTCAGTGAACATGTTAGACTGCGTTCCCCAGAAGCAGACCCTAAGACTTGGATTCAGTGCAGCGGGTTTACTTGGGAAATTATTTCAGGAAATGCAGATAGAGTGAGGAGGTGAGACAGGGAATGGAAGGAAGCCAGCAAGGAATGTGTTCGTAAGCCGGTTACTGCCTCGGGTGACCGGGACTTAAATCCTGTTTGGCCGCTCTGTGTGACAGTGGAGAACACACCTCGGGTTGACCCACTTGAGGGCCGAGGCAGGTGGGGAGTGTATCCACCCAGCACTCGCAGCCTACTGGCCTGCTGGTTCTAACTGGAGCAGAGAACTCCCGTGGGCAGGCTGCACCCAGGGGAGCTTGCAGGAGAAAGCCCTTGTGTCCCAGGACACTGGGAGGATGAGTGCCCGAGGGGATATGGGCTCAGCAAGGACAGTGTCCACTACAGTGAACAAAACCCACCGAACTCTGCTCTTGTGGAAGTTAGATGGCGGGGGTGGGGGGGGTGACACTCCATATAATAAGAATATTAGAGTCTGTTAGGAGGTGAACACCTTTGCTGGAATTAAAAAGAGAGTGAGGTAAGTGAGATAGGGAGTGGGTGTTGCAATTTGCAAACATTAATTTTACAAAACCAACAAAAGGGGAAAGAAAATGCATTCTATATCAAAAAGAATGTAGCTACATGCATTTTTGGAAAATTGGGGGAAATTTCACCTCTAAGCCCATCATCGTAATATAACCATAGTTCTCATTTGGATGTATTGACTTTCAGTCTTTTTTCCCCCGTAGGCATTTTCTGGCAAGACTTTAGGCACAGCATACATTTAACTTTGTGTCCTGCTCTCTCACTTGCCATTCTAACGCAGCTCTTCAATCTCCAAGGCCCTCGTGCTTCCTCTCCTCTCCTCCCTCTAAGGTGCCTGCAGGGGAGGCTGGAGATGACCTCTCCCTCCTCCTGAGAATAAGCAATCCCAGGAATTCCAGTCTCCATGGATTCCAGCTGGCCAAGGCCTGCCTGACAGCAAAGAAGAGCGGGGCCTGCTGAGAATTAGTTATTCATAATTAGTAACAGATGACATAACACATGTAACATACCTGGCCTCACTGATGGAGGGTCGGTGAGGGTGAGCAGCCCCGTCACCTGGAGCTTCCTCTCCCGGGTAGCGGTGGTCCAGCCGGGCTCTACCATCCTCAGCCCGGCAGGCATGGCTCCGGGATGCTTCCTGCCCAGCTCTGATCTCTCTAGATCAGCACTGATGCTGGCCTGGGAGAGAGTCTCATCTCTGATGTCTCTTCTTTCAGGAGAGACTCTGTGGATTCCAAGTCTTCTTCGGCCACCTCCTCTCCAAAAAGGCCATCGATGGAAAGGTAAGGGAAGCCATGGACTTCTCCATTCAGAGATCCTATGCAGTTTGTGTCCCTCTCTCTGCTTTAATGTAGGAAGCCTGAGGCTGGGGAAGGAGGAAACTTTGTATGTTATGTTGCCTCTGGAATCTAGGATCCACACAGTAAGACTAAGGGGGAGGGGAGGGAGGTTGGGAACTGGATGAAAAAAGATGAAGGGTTTGAGAAGTACAGATTGGTAGTCACTAAGTAGTCATGGGAATGTAAAGTACAGCATAGGACATATAGTCAGTAATAATGTAATAACAGTGTATGGTGCCAGTTGAGCTACTGGAAATAACAGGGGAACACTTTGTAAAGTATATGATTGTCTAACCAGCGGTTATCAACCTGTGGGTCGCGACTCCTTTGGCGGTCGAACGACCCTTTCACAGGGGTCGCCTAAGTCCATCCTGCATATCAGATATTTACATTATGATTCATAACAGTAGCAACATTAGTTATGAAGTAGCAACGAAAATAATTTTATGGTTGGGTCACAACATGAGGAACTGTATTTAAAGGGCCAGAAGGTTGAGAACCACTGGAACCATATGCTGTTCACCTGAAACTAATACAAAATAGCGTTGAAGGTAAGCTATAGTTGGCCCTAGCCAGTTTGGCTCAGTGGATAGAGCATCAGCCTGCAGACCAAAGGGTCCCAGATTTGCGTCCTATCAAGGGCACATACCTCGGTTGCAGGCTCCTCCCTGGTCCGGGCCCTGTTCAGGGTTCGTGCAGGAGGCAACCAGTCAATGTGTCTCTCTCACAGCGATGTTTCTCTTTGTCTTTCCCTCTCTCTTCCATTCTCCCTAAAAATCAGTGGAAAAATATCCTCGAGTGAGGATTGAAAAAAAAAAGCATGTACTAATGATGATTATAAGACTGCTTGTAATAAAGAGAACAGTGTTGTTTTTTTAAATGTAAGCTATAATTGAAAATTTTTTAATAAATAAATATTTTTTTTAAAGACTAAGGGGCCCCTGAATGAGAGGTGTGGCTCCTTCATGGTGGCTGACCAGTCACTGTTGCCCCATCACTGGGGAACGTTCTCAGGGTGAAGCTGAACCCAGTGAGGACACAGGCCTTGAGAGCCTATACCTGGGGCGGGAACTCTGGTTTGGGGCTGAACTGGTTAGGATATCTCCCCAGAGTAGCATATATCATCAAGTCATTCACTCATCAAATATTTATTGAGGGCCTACTATGTGCCAGGAACTGTTCTAGGTGCCAAGGATACAGCAGTGAACAAAAGAAACAAAGATTACTACAGCCTCAAGGCCTGTATTCTAAGAGGGGAGACAGAGATGCATTAATAAGTAAGTTATACAACAGTTTAGAAGATGGCATGTGCTATGGAAAACAGAGCAGGGTGAGGGGGGTTGGGGAAAAACGGTCATGGGTGGTCAGAAGAGCCCTCATTGAAGACATGACCTTTGCGCAAAACCTTAACCAGATGAGGGAATTAGCCACGCAGATGTTGGGGTCATTCCAAACGCAAGGAGCTGTGAGGTGGCCAGTGGGGCTGAAGCCAATAAGTGAGAGGAGAGTTGGAGGAGGAGTGAAACAGGAGCCACTGGAGGGTATTAAGCTTGTAAATTACATGTTCAACCTTATCAGGACCCCTGAGGCTGCTGTGCTGAGAATGGATTGTCAGGGCAGAAGTAGAGAGACCAGGTGTTGGGGTCCAACCCCAACAGGTCCAGGGGTTCCCAAAGGTGTAGACAGAGTCAGCAAAGAAGGAATGACACGGAGACAGCTTTCAGTTGATCAGCATAGCGAGGTTCCTCTTGTCAGGGTCTAGCCAGGATCTCCAGCCAGGTTCTGT